TTTTTTTTTTTTTTTTTTTTTTTTTTTTTTTTTGTAGTGTGATCCTAAGGCCTTGGGCCCCTGTTAACCTTGCCTTTTCAAGCCCTCAAAGAAGATAGTAGACACTTGTGCCCTTCTGAGTCTGCTTTACTTTATAAGACCCATGGTGCTGGGCACCGCTCGGTCTTCTATAGATGGCCCAAAAAACACGGGAATAACGAAATGGTTAAATGCGAATTATGGCCCTCAACTTTGGGCTTTGTATAGTTTTAATCCCATAATTTTTTTATGTATTTTTTTAGTCTTTCAACTATAAAAATACATTTTTTCTTTTTTTTAGTTAATTTATTAAATATATTTATGGTTAAATCTCCAATTTGGTCCCTGAACTATTATATAGATCCTTGATTTGATCCCTAAACTATTGTACAGATCTCGATTTAGTTCAAACTGTTTACCAATTTGTCCCAAATTAGTCTTTTCGTAAAAAAAAAAAGCTGACATGTCTAATATTTAACGACGAAAAACAATAACTTAATGGCAAAAAACAGTAACTTAACGGCTACATGTTACTTTAATAATGAGACACATCAGCTATTTTTGTATAGAAAGATCAACTTGGAGCAAATTGGTAAACAGTCGGGACCAAATCGGGAATCGTACAATAGTTCAGGAATCCAATCAGGGATTTTTTTAGTTAGGGACCAAATCAAGGTCCATACAATAATTCAGAGACCAAATTTAGAGATTTAACATATATTTATATATGTACATTTTTAATTTCTAAACTTTTAAGTTGAGGAACAAAATTGTTTAAAATTCTAAAGTTAAGGATTAAAAATATGTATATATAGACAAATTTAATATATTAACTGATAAAAAGATTAAAAAAATATATTTTTTCATAATTAAAAAACCAAAAAAATGTGTATAAAAAATTAAAGGATCAAAACTATTTAAAACCTTAAATTTAAGGGGTCCAAATTGGCATCGCCCTTCCCTCACCGTCGCCACACAGTTATGTAGAAAGTAATTAGTAGTTTTAGTATTTTTTTAATATTTGATAATAGATTATATAAACCAAGATAGCTCTTTTTAAAAAAAAAAATTAAATTATCATTCAAGTATTGTTTAAAATTATGTGAAAAAAATAAACAACTTATATTTTGAAAAGAAAGGGAGTAAACGAAGAAGTATCTAAACTATCATGATAATACATGCTAAAACTTAGGGGAAAAAAAATTTCGATTAGTGGCCTGAAGTCTCACTCACAATTCTTTATTAAGATAAAGGTAACATACATTTTTGCTAATAAACAAAACCCACCTGCATCATTCACTAAACACATACTTTTGTTTTATTTGAACAATTAAGATGTTTTTAAATCAATTTTTATGTATTTTGAGATTAATTCCTTCTATCAATATCTTTAAAAACATCCTACATTAACTTATTATATTATAAAAATTAATTTTTTTTAAATACTGGTCTCCAAACTAATTAAATTTTAAATATAATTTGTAAAACAACAGTTACTTATTATTGGATTTAACTTGGCTGGATTCCAAACACAGTCTTATTATAGTATTTACATGAATGAGCAGCCTGGTTGAGTTTCTCCACAACTGCTCCAGCTGTCGCAAACGGGTTTCCCATGACACGGAACGAATTGGACTTGGCCGCCACAGTAACATGGGCCCCAGGGCCTTCCGCTACAGCATTTACAGTAACAAAACACCTGGGCTTTCAGATCTACAGATACTTTCACATGCTTTTCCTTAGGCGGAGGCGGAGGTGGGGGCGGGGGCGAAGGTGGAGGCGGAGGCCGCTCTATGATCTCAATGCTCTTGATGCATCCACCACCCTTGCAGCATAACTTGTCCCTCATCTTCTCCGGTGAGCAGCACACCACCTTTATTGTCACCTTGTTTGCCTTCTCATCATACTTCTGATCTCGTATTTCTTTAATTAATTTGTTCGCAACACAACGACTCAGTCCATTTGGCTAATCAATTCATAAATTGATATACGTATATCGTATGCACAAAAATTATATTTAACAAATTATATATTAATTAATTAGGAGAGAACAATATTAATTGAGGAAAGGGAGTCATCACCAGGAAATTTGCAGAGAAGTTTCTTGATCTTCTTGTAGCATTTTGAGCACCGTAGGTCCACTACATTCAGTACCATTGTTGTCACCTATAAAAGAGTATATATATATATATATATATATGTTTACTGAACATTGATCACCATATATATACGTATAAGGAAAGAAAGGAAAGAAAAAAATGGAGAATAGAGTAGTATAAATTTTTAGCACAAACCTTCTCGGCCATGGCTGCTATGCAGAGGATTAAGGCAAGCCGATTCTTAAATAAGTAGGGCAGGCGAGGGTGGGGGTCTGGTTTCACGCACTAAAGAGTCAATTGTACTCGTCAATGTTAGTTTTTCCACTAGTGGGTGTAATCGGGCCTGTCCCTTTCTTTGCATGTGCTGCCTCTTATTCCTTTCACCCTCCCACATAGAGGTAATAAAAATCCTACCCTAGCTACACTAAAAAATATTAATTACATAGCAAGTTCCAAAACTACACGGCATTAATTTAGTGCCTCTTTTAGTAATGTTGTTGTTGTTCATTTTTCATTTAATTTGGTTTGTCAAAATTTTAAAGAAAATTGATTTAATTTTTTTTTAAAGAATTAATTTTGTTATTAATTTTGAAAACTTATACTCAATAAATTGTTGACTTTAATTTTTTAAATTTACGACCTCAATTTTTATTATTCAAAATTTGGCAATATAATACAACAATATTACTAAAAGGGCCCTTAGTTGTTGTTGAAAATTTTTAAAGCCCATGGAAACTATAATATTGTTCGAAAATTTTAAAATAAGTTAAGTTGCTTATGAATTACTTAAGCCTGACTTGTTGTAAGGGAAAGGTAATAACACTGTAAATAATGAATTGTTTAAGGGTTAGGGTATCCCTTGTACCCAAGAAAATAAACTTTTAGCTTATCAAAGAAAATTTACTTAAGCCTGACTTGAATTATATTTAAAGTAAAATAGATTTTCACAAAGTGCTTCTACAATGGTAAAAGAGGTTTTTAACAGTAATCATGCGCTAACTATAGCTTCTTCTAATGACAAAGTAGCTTCTGCCTTCCTAACATTAATGGATATATAATTAGTAACTATCCTTTTTATTTTTTTAGTAATTAACGGTTAAAGTAGTAAAAGTTTTGATTAATCATCAACAATAATTCCTCTTTTTAATTCCCATGCACAATAAAATAAATATAATGGGACGGGAATGGAGTAGTAATTAAATTAAGGCACCACAATCATCATCGTAAACAAAACCCCACTTATTTATTTTTATATTAATTATTATAAGATTTCTATATTATCATTAACCTTTACTTTTGGACAAATTATTAACAAGAAACTAAAGTTCAGTGGAGAAGTAATTAAATTAAGGCACCACAATCATCATCGTA